TATAACTGTGACATTGTTATGACATATGCCACTGTCAATGATCACGTAACAGTATCGTCAATCAAAACAATCACTTATATGACCTGGTCTCTGTGCTAAATCAATGATGAGTTAATCAGCACGAGCAATCCTGTAATCTGGTGTACACTAGTTATCAAATGGTACTAGATATTTGATTTATACCATTCTTTTCTTTAAAACAAGTCTTTGTATGGTTATTTTTTTCAGGTCATGTCAAAATATCATTATAGGTCAAACAATTAACATTTATTATGCCAGAAAAGGTAGTGTATACAATCCACAAAATCGTATTATTTCAGTGCACAAAATTTATAAACGTGGAACTATTGGATATAAAGTAAGACTATTATTATTAGTATACATTACTTTCTTCTGTATAGGACAGTGATTTGTAATATTTATTTGTGGCGCCTATTTTAAATAACTCTACAAATAAACAAATGCAACAGAGTAAAAACCCTAGTAAAATACTACTTGAATTCTTGGCACCATACGTTTCAGCCATTAAACTTAAAATGTTTTTGATAGAGGAATTCATTGGTAACTAGATAAATTTGTCGGTAGTATATTTCCCAAATTGATGATAGTCCACTTCCATTGATGATAACTGACTTACATCCGACAGAGATTAACTCTACCATACATGACTTCTTGAGTATTTCTGGAACTCATCTCGAAGTAAGTCCTTGGTGAGCATATTACCAGCTTTAAAGGGGTTGTATGTCCGCATGGATGAGTAATCTAATGGCTGTTCAGTATTCTTGTTTCTCAGCAGTAACCCAGTTGAGGCGAATCCGTAAAAAATACTGTTTTAACAGTTACTTTCAATCATCCATTTATAATACAATGTAACTAATCACAAAATAGTACCAAGAAATACTCCAAATAAAACAAGATTCCCCCCATATAATGCAGAAAAACGGGTGAATTCGTGTTTAAAGCAAAGATAAGTGATAAACCAACGTAGAAACACTTCAATTAAAGTTGGAATACTGGCTAGCAGTGGAATAGGGGACGCGCATTTCGTATAATTTGAGAGAAGTCGGGTGGACTTACCTGAATCCCAGCGTATATCTATACGGTAGCTCGAATGCAGTATCTTTCGCTTCAAACGCTTATCGCACCATCGTTTGAGTCCACGTAGCCACTTCCTTATGCTTTGAGTATGAATTTCACTTAAGCTTATATCCCTCCACTATCGATGTCATGACACGCAATTAATCAGTCTCTTTCAGCATATACACATCCTGTGCTGTTACAAGTTTTTAATTATAGTCACAGTTTTATTTATTTATTTGTTTGAAAACATAAATACTGTTACAAGGGGGCACCAAATACATATGCGCCACACAAATCTCATTTGATTTGTGTGAAGGTTGTGATACTGCTTAGGTGCCCAAACTGAAGCAGATGGTTTTCTTAGAGGGCCACATCCGGAGCCTTCGACCTAAAAGTCTGATCCACAAAGCAGTGCAGCATCGTAAGGATGCAGTCCGATGGTAGCCGGTGACCAACGACTGGTTCATGTGCCATTTTCTCCCTCAGGGTACTGAGGCCCATGTGCACCAATGGTTCGGAATCATGGTTTTCCAACTCCCCTAGGTGAATCCACCAACCCGGTTAAAGAGCCGGGCATTCACTTTTTGTCCTCTCGATTTTGTAAACAACACCCCCGCCACGAGAAGACAGTGAGTAGGACTTACTTGGCAGTGATTGTGTACGCGTGGCCATATGAAAGCATTTCGAGAGGGAGAGCGGACTCTCCCCACTCTCGGCCGTGCCAGGGCAACTACTGTTAGGCACAGTAGTGACTACATGACTCGCATTCCCTTCTATTCGGGACTCGTCAACTGGAAAGATTCCATAGACTTAAAGGGTATGACTATTTATGAACTCAGACAAAAACTCATTAATGAATATGTTATAAATTCTACCTTTACAATGGACAACATCTTATGTTAAATAAGCATCGAAAATGCATTTCCATAAACAATAACACTGATTCCTTGAAATTCGATAAAATCCTATCCTAAAACATAATGACAAAACGGTCAAAAATTGATTTGTTATTCTCGATTAGATCTTTAATGAATTATCTCTGGCCTGAGAAGTTATACTTGAATATGTTCGTTTCATTCCTTAATATACATTTAATTGGTTAGCTAATGTTTCTATATTCTAATAACTATTCAGCCGTAAAGCAAAACAGCTGTGAAACGTGGCTATTAACAGTTGAAGATACTCGTAAGCTACTAGTATTTGACCACAGATGCCTCAGAAATATTGCTCGCATCTGCTGGAATCATCGGGTAAGTAATAGTAAGGTTAGACGCAGATTATTAGAGAATGATGGTAAATCAGTTGATGAGGTTGTGAATCTACATCGACTCAGATAGTTGGGCCACGTGTTACCCATGCTTGAACACCGATTACCATGACACACAATCCTGACTAGTGTTGGAGATGATTAGAAGAAAGCTAGGGGTGATCAAACCAAAATGTGGCCTCAGTGCTTAAAGTCGCTAATTTATAGCCTTAGCCATGTTGGTAGATGCAGACTACTTGGTTGGGGTCCGCGTGACTATCGTAACCAATGGTTGGAGAGACTCTTGGTGACATGGCCCAGAATCGGTCACACTGGCGTCGGTGTATACACTCTCTGTCTTCTCTTAAACTAAGAGATTAACATCGCTTCATATCTTTCTTTCTATGAACTAATTCTTTCTTCCTGTACTATATCCTAATATGCAATCTTTATTTTATATATTACCACTATTGAATTACCTACTTTTATGAATCCGGTGTTCATCTTCCTGTGCTAATGAGGTATGGCAACTTGGACTGATGCATATATGTGCCTGGTCCTATGTTGTAGCTGACTAACTGATAACTAATCAGTCAATCATAGTTTAAAGTATTAATAGCATGAATAAATTATCGATTCAGTCACTTTGATCATCATTTAAGTCCGTGTAAAATAGAATATGGTATAAAAGCCTTCCGCTAACCATATCATTAACACCTTTCAATGTCAGTGTTTTTAGTTCGAATTCTTCACAACCCTACATTAAAACCAAAGCTTAATAAATAACTACAAAACTAACTTGGTTCTAGCTAAAGAATTAATATTCATCAAAGTAAACAATGCTGGTCGTCGGCCTATGCTCCATTAGGAGTAATAAGCGTAGGTAAAAGTAAAGTAAACAATAAAACATTTTTTTACTTTTGGAATCCTTATATGACATATTTATCTTTATTTTAGTGTCAAGGCTATGCATGTATAGACAATAGTCAATTAAACACTGAACAGAAATTCTTTATTACTACAAATGTCCTATTTCATGATTTAACCTTATAATGCATATATATCCGATCAAAGCAAATGTCAACAATTTTATATGACTGTCATTATTAGTATCAGTAATATAGTAACATTTTGATTAAATATCTTTTATTTATTGCAAAATGGTATGTATTTCCTACACAAAAGTATAAAACATTTCCTATACATCTGAATAGAATGAATTTATCAGTTATCATTAAAACTATTGTTCTAACAATCTTTGTCACAATAATAAGATATATTTCCGCTGCCGTTTGCTTCAAACGAATATCTACTTGCATCTCCATTCATTATTGACTACTTTGAAGAGAAATGATTTGGGCACTAGTGAAGAGTAATACTATGTATTGATAAGCGATTATACTGAAATAGTGATAACGCATATTAATTTATCGATGTATAGGGTTGTGGAGATTGTTGAGTTTAGATTGATATCATGAATGGATCAATGTTAGACCACCATTAAAAACCTGAAAGCACTGGACGGCCGTTTCGTCTAGAGGTTAAGCATTCGCGCACGAGACCGAAGGTCCTAGATTCGAGCCCTGCGTGCGCGATCATGGATGCGCACTGCTGAGGAGTCCTATACTAAGACGGCCGTCCAGTGCTTTCAGGTTTTTAATGGTGGTCTAACATTGATCCATTCATCAATTTAAACATAGTGATTTAATTTGTAAATGATTTTAATCAGTGAATATATGATGATATACTCTTTTATTATCATCCTAACTTACTAGATGTTCGCTAAACCTCTTCATTGTATACACCGAAACAACTGATAAACTATATGATACTGTAAACCATATCAATCAGAATCTTAGGAACAGTAAGTACCCCGGTACTAATTTGTATGATTCAAACTTATATGCATTAAGTACAAAACTACAATATTAATAGTATGAAACTGAGTGACTGATTTCTGACTAATTTACTATAATTTAAAGATATATATAATCCTGGGACCATCGAGTAAGTAGTAAAGTTGTTAGAAAACATGTACTAGGTAAGGATGGTAAATCAATTGATGAAGTAGTGAAACTTCATCAGTTGAGATGGCTGGGACACGTGTTACGCATGCCCAACGACCGACTGCCTCGACGTGCGATGTTCAATGGTATAGGAGTAGATTGGAAGAATGCTAGGGGCTACCAGAGAAAAACATGGCACAAGTCCATGAAGTCACTGACAAGTGAACTGAGTCATATTGGTAGGTGTAGACTACCTGGTTGGGGACCGCGAGATGATAGAAACCGATAGTTAGAGACCCTGAATGACATGGCTCAAAATCGTTTGGAATGGCGCAGGTGCATCCATTCTTTGTATTCTCCCAAATTTTAATCTTATTCCTCCTTGTCTCTTTTTTCTCCTTCCAAATTTATTTCACTGGGTTTTACTCTTTATATAACATCTCCAAACCCTAATCTTGCCGATTACTGCTTATACTATTACTACCTCTACCGCTACGGAATTTGAATCGACAACTGCATCTCTATGTTAAGTTGGTGTGGCAACTCGAACTGATGTACGTACGTATGAAGTTCTACGTTGTTACTGACTGGCTGACATATATATATATATATATATATATATATATATATATAATATTGTTTTCAATTAGATCCTCATCAGGCTAATATAGACTAACATACAGTAATGTATTGATATGCATAAACGAAATTATTAAATTAATTAAGGCAGTTTATGAGACATTGATAACAGTGGAATACATTACATAACTAAACATAATAAGTAAAGAGTACAAGTTGATCATGTAATGAAAGGTGTACTAGTTGTGATAAGAATAATAAAGACTTGAATTAATGTTTCATAATAGGATATAGGTCAATAACACTCATAAAAAGTTACAAGATTACGTAATAAGAAGTGTTTAAATAATTGGACAATGAAGTGTATATTTAAGAAAGAAATAGGGGGGGGGGAGAGGAAGAACAATAAACAAACTGAATATAGAAAATAATAATCAGTGAAATCTTTTACTGAAGTTATTTCTACCAAGGAAGAGATAAAAGTGTTGCACGTTATTATAAGCATGTATACTGAGTTCTCAGAGAATTGATATTTCCTGACTCAACAAAGTTAATAGGTTAGAAACCGACAATGGACTGCAATTCATTTCAAACTGTTGTATCCGTGATGTGTGGGCGAGAATGATTGGTTGTTTGCTTAGTCAGACATGTAGATTGTCTGACAGGTGTCAGATGAGTTATATATTCCCCTATCCTTATTATTATGACTCACTTATTATTGGCTATTCATTGTTGTTGGATCTTATTGGGTTTTTAGTGTGGAAATATATTTACGTTGTGGTCAGGCTAATCACGTGTTCTTGATCTGAGTTGTGTTAAAGTCCTGTAGAATAGACAGCGACGGGGAATCTAGTGTAGATATGTGTTTAAGGTAAATTAACGTCCCATACGTGTAAACGTGCAAATCCAACCGTTATAACATCAGACGAAGCAAAACCGAGCGTTATAACAACTCGGTCTTAAGATAAAAAATGACCAGGTAGGTAGCGAAGGTTTGAAGTGAAAATTCTCTTTGAAAAATGGTATTTCTTTCTAATCTCAATAATAATGAATTTACAAAGAAAGCATGAATAAACTAACTATCATATTAAGATACTTCTTATGCTTACTAGGGTCATATTATTAGTATAACAATATCTTGATAATTAAACCAATCAACTTACGATGATTGGATAAGAATTCTACTCCACCTACTTTGTTTCCAGTGATCGTAAGATATCAGTCAGTCAGTCCATCGTAATCAACGTAGAATGTGGTACAGATGTGTATAGGTTACCGTTATCACATCTCACACTAGTACAAAGCAATGAAATTAACAGGGTATCAAAGAAGTGGAAGTAGTAGCAGTATCAGTTACAGCAAGACTAAATATATATAGAATTTATTTCGAAAAGAAGGGATGAAATAAAGGAATACAATTTATATACTTGCTTTAAAACTCAAGATTTATGGGGAGATAAAGTAAATCCAACTAAACTACGGTAAATAACTCTAAGCCATGTCAACAAATGTTTCCAACTACTGACACCAGTTATCTGAAGGATTTCAAACAAAACGTTTCTATCAACCAAAATACCTCAGAGTAACAGACAATTATTTGATAAACTGATGGAACATTTTAGTTTTTCCGCACCCAGCTTTTATCCAAAATGATCCCAAGATAGTCATCATTGCACTTTGGGGTAGGCAGAAGACGAGGAAATATAATGTATGTCATAGCCATCTTAACCAATGAAGTTGCACAGCTTCACCAATCGATATATCATTATTGGTACCTAGTAAATATGTATCTAACCTCAATGTTGCTTATTTGATTGTTTTGAAAAACCTGGATAAAGCTTTGAATGAATCTATGATGCAAATTATCAAACAACTGATACGAAGATGATTTCTTTAATAATATATGAAGTAGAATTATTCACTGAATAAATAAAACTTATAAAACATACAATAAAACATATCGTTTCATTCATTTACATGTGTTCGTTTCCTAATACGAGACAGTAACTCATCTTGATCACGTTTTATACGATCAATCACTTTGACTAAAAGGTTTTCACTAGCCTGTAAAGCTGTTTTAATTTGTTTACAATTGTTGTTGCTCTCCGTATCCTTTTCCTCCTTATCTTGTTCTTCATTATTATTATTATTATTATTATTATTATTATTATTATTATTATTATTATTATTACTTTCTATAGTCTTCTCCTTATGGTCTTTATTTTGCAATGCTAATAACTGACTTTTCATTAATTCAACGCAGATTTCCAAATCAAATTTAGCTTCATCCATTTTACCTTGATTAAAATAAGATTGAGCACGACGAAATAGTACTTTATGTATATCTTGATAAGATATTTCAAAATTATCCCAATAGAATTGAAGTTTTTCTTGTGAAAATAATGATGTATTAATGATATCTTGATGATAATAATCATTAGTTGATGAATATATAGAAGAATCTATTTGACATGAAAGAAGATATAAAGCATGTGAACAATTTCTAGCACAATATTCATTAGATCCAACTTTCAATTGACATAAAGCAACATTTGAAAGGAGGCTGTAGAGAAAAAAAACAAACATGAAAAGACAATTAAATATGTTGAATTAATTAAAATCTATCTATGTAAGGAATGAGAGGAACTTCTCATTTTTTCATGATTAGGATGTAACGATGTACGTTACGAATGATTTTTTAAAACTAGGTTTGATTTCTGCGATTCATTGAAACATTCAATCCTTTTCATAAACCAATATTATGTAACTAAAACTCTTCATTAGTTATAATTATTTTTGTTTGGAAGTTATTAAATCGATAATCATCATAGGCTATAAAACAGTCTTCAGTGTAGAGAATGACTAAGAGTAACTAGGTCCAACTTACCATGATACATCAGCATGGTGTGATGAAATTAATGAAATGAATAGCAAAGTTGAAATAATGATGGTGTCAGTGATCATAAGAAGAAACGCCCATAACATATAGGAAAGAAATGAAACAATGCATGAAGAATTACTGAGGATTAAGATTTAGTTGAAGATAAAAAAAATTGAATGCATCTAGGTCATTGCAAATAATTTCGATCCATAACATTCAGAGTCTTCAACCACTGATCCTGGCCATTAGGTGGATCATATCCACATAGTCTACGTTTGTCAATACGACTTCGTTCAACGGTTCATGATTTCATGGACTAATGACATTACTTGGTTTGTTTACCTCAAGTTTTCTTCTACCTTACTCTTATGTCAATCAATCAGCGCTTTGAGAGCCCATAACTTATAAAATGGACGTATTATAGAAATAAACACTAAAGGTGTTTTTAAAAAAAGGATAACTGTGCTAAGTATAGTGAAACAATGCAAGTTATTATAATAAGGAATTAATTCTTGAATGTGATTAACCTACCAAATAAGGGTTGCTGAGATTGACAACAAGATTTCGGATAGAGAAATGTAAGTTATTTGACAAATTTGAAGAATTATAACTACAAGAATAGTCGGAATGTGTTACTTTGGTCTAAAGGTGATAGTTTTACATTGATCAGATACCATACTATATTAATGTTATGGTTTAGTAGTTTAAAAACATCTAAATTTTAATCATTATAAAAGAGGATCAAGTGACAGTCCTCTCACGTAACAAATATATCTCAAAGTCTAGTGCAAAAATACGTACTTATTTATATTCGACTATGAATATGATGTACTGGAATAGAATGACTATTACTTTACTAAGGATAAGGAAATGCTTTAGTAGGGTGGCTTAAACTATTTGTAAAACATAAATGAGTAGTGAAACACTTATTATCAAAAGTAAGACTTTCCAACTCAGTCATTATGTGAACTTTAAAATTTCAGTTCAAATTTGTGTTGGTTTCCCTTTTAGAAGAAAAAAATCATTCTCTTCATGGTGTTAAATAAACTTTGTTGCTATACTAGTGTACAACAGATTACATACCTGTTAGGGATGCTGAGGAATATACCAATCATTATCATGTTAAGTCTAATGATGACCTTGGAATATAAATGGGCATTCCCTATTGGTCGATATTTGTTTCACTTGTTAAATATTGTGTAAATGTTGTTTTCTATTTTATGGTACGATGTGGTTTGTTTGCTTGGTATATAAATAGAGTATGTCTGAAATATAATGATTCATAACTCAGAGGCTGTGACTTGCGTTCTAGACTCGACTGGCTGGACTAGACGGGGAAGCGGGACCAATCAGAACCCTAGGCCGTCCTTACGTGTTTTACGTGTCACAGATTCGATCGATAAATACGCTGCACATCTAACCGTGCAATCCACCCGTTACAACAATACCTATTTTCAAATGAAAGCTGATAAATCAATTAGAAAAACAACGAACTATTTCTTATACAATAGTGGTGTGTGAATTAAGAAAATAAACTAATGATAAAGTCATGTTTCTTCATCACTTATTGAGTCTTCATTATTATGATAAATGTGCTTTGTAAATTGAGAATTCACATTTATGAGTATTGAATGATAGTGTTCAATGTTAATCTAGATTAAACAAAATAATATATTTGTCATATAAATGTTTCACAATATTAGCCAAACATTCGATCACAATTTTATTTATACAAAACATCAACTGAATAACCTACAAATTGTTAATGAGTAATAGTAGAATCTAAGCAACCGGTGATCTCTGTCCCAAATAACAGAGGTAACTACTAGGCATTTAGATGACTTTTACTTGGTTAACAATGCCCAGACATCGAAGTTGGTGATATCTAGCTATTTACATGTTTCATTAGTTAATTCATTGGTTTCTAATACTGAGTAAAGTGAACAAAATTATGAACCTGTGTTTTACTGACTTCTGATGAAAGAAATATTAAGTAGTGAAGATTATATTTGATGTTGAACAAGGCGATCCCGAGTGCTGTTAAAGGCGATTGTCATACTTCGGTCCCCCATACCGTGGACGGACACTCCTTCTTGAAAGATATGAAAAAGTAAACTAGGTTAGGTCGATTCAAATGATTTGAGAGAGTGACCGTAGTGCTCAAGGGAAAACTGCTTGAGGCTGGTTACGCGCCGCCTTTCTGTAAGCTGTTTTACATGTTAGCTATATACTTATAGGGCCTTAGCGCGGAGGATGCAAATCTATGGTTTAAGGTGAGATGCGAAATTTCTATAGACCGACTTTTTATAACCTCTTTCTTCCGATGGGGAAAGACAGTGTCGCCCCAGATGTTGGTTGTTTAAAGGAAACATCTTACTGTCGTCACACCCCTGTACAGTCGGAAGTGTGACTTTGCCATCAAACCATGAAGGCTTCTGATACTAAGCTTTGATTATGATGAAGCTGCAGTTAAGCTTTTAAAACACTTGGTTTTTAACCAGCAAAATTGCAAGATTGAACAGCGTTTTACCTACTTATGTTTAGACAATCGGTTAGTATACCAGGCCTACATAGGGTGAGAGTTAAATTCAAGTAAGTACACCTATACTTCGTAAATGAATTACATCGACTATTAGTTAACTTACGTATTGAGTATGTGAAATTGATCAGCAGCTTATGAATTTAATAAAGTGTCAAAAACTGACTCTAAAAAAGCATTATTTCACAAGTTATTTGAACTGTATACCTCACAAAAAAAGTACAGTCGAACGAAAATCAATTCGAAAACTTACATAAACATCAAGCGTAAAGGTTTACATTGTAATGGAAACATAGTTTTCTGATCAATATCCCCAAAACGATCCCAATCTTTGTAGTCTGAACTGTTCAATTTTTCACCATTATTACAAGTTATGGATTTTTCACCTGATACCACTTGAATCCAGTGTATATTACTATTTGTGCTAGTTTTATTTTTTGTACAATCAGATCCATTTTCGTCAGTTCCCATTGGTAAAACATCATTTACACATGTTTTTTCAGCCCAATAAGCTAATGAAACAAGCTGCAAAGCTCTGGAATAACATGCAAAAGCTGATGACCAAATGTATTTGAATAATTCCTCTCTGTTATTATTACTATTTGAATCGTTCAAGTGTAATGTTACACATTTCAAATGATGATTTACCAACCAAGAACCTCTTTCTTTTAAATACCAAGCTCGATATAACCATTGAATTGTTAAATCAGGATTCCAATCAACTGTAGTATTTTCTCTTAAATCTGATTCTAATATTTTAGCATTAACATTCATAGTAGGATCGCCACAGATCGGTGGAACAAGTACATAGTCAACGCGTAATGATAGATGATACTCCTAAATGAATAAAATATATGAAAACACTCTAAAAAGTTATCTAATGTCTAACAGCAATAAGAAATAGTTATTAAACGATCATATGAAATATTTCTGCAATTTACCATTCAACTTCTTTTTACTCCGAATAAAACATAATGGTTACTAACATGCAAACAGTAAACCGAAATACAAACTAGATATTAGTCTGTCAAATATACAAAAATGGAGATTATAAAAACTACATTTTACTAAATTCCCATTTATGGCAATATATGTTTTATCTTCGTTCTTGTGGTTCAAAATATCTTTAAAGGTACATGTTAACCATTGCCTTAACACGTTACGATTTCTAATGATAGGTGTTGTTGTTGGTTCTACTATTATTTAGTAAACGTTAATACTTTTATTTAAGGTGTGTGAAACTATATATCCCTCCAAATACAATGTTGTGGAGATGCTGAACTATTTTAATTGCATCTCAGTTACTCGCTATAGACCGGTCTGCTCAAAAAATAGCCAATCCTAACCATTAATGATTTTGACATATATAATGTAGCCCGCTGGATTTTTTACTGAGAGAAGAACAGTGGATACTACCTTTTACATGGATGTTCTTAAGATTCCGATTAATTATGTACACTTTACACAACCGAATTTGTGACTTTATTGTATGGCACATCCACTGAGATATTATGCATATACACTCACTAGGGATTGTTCGCGAGTTTCTGGCCTATATTTTGATCAATACACTTGATTATGTTTACCGGAACGAGTCATATTCAATTTCTTTTCATTCCCCAAATACAGTATATCATGAGAGGGCTGCAATGGAACAATGTAACAACTTTAAAATGAGACTATAAAACAATTGGTGAGTTAATATTTCACAACTGACCCGGTTGAATCCACTGGTCATTGCTTCTCACTAAAACTCCAGGATATACCTCTTGAAGTTAGACATTAACACCGCTGGATGCTGGTTCAGCGTTCTGGTGGTCAAGCGCTCGCGTGCGAGACTGATAGGTCCTGGGTTCGGATCCCTCGATGCGGGGTCATGGGTGCGCACTGCTGAGGAGTCCCACAATAGGAAGAAACGGCCGTCCAGTGCTTCCAGGTTTTCCATAGTGGTTTAGCTTAAATTGACTCATGACCTCAACTATTGAAATTACTACAATCTCCACCAAAACCCCTTCAGAAGAATAATTCTTTCAAACATTATGCGTTAATGACATCGAGATATGGTTGCATATCAATTAATAAACACTATCTGTAAACCTAAGGCAATTATCATTTTACCATAAGTTTTATACATAAAGATTTGATTTTATTGAGTACAAAAGTAACTAAATTTTCTGGTTAGCTGTGTTGTCACATGATATCACCTTATTTGTGAAAAAACACCTTGACTTAATATAAGTGGGTTGTGTGAGCAGCTGCTGTTTGATCAGTTTCAACTGATTCAAACAATCTATTTTACAATGAAAAAACAAACAAAATATTTCATACAGTCGTTATCCCTTTTTAAGTGGACTAAATAGCCATCAAAAAATAGTAAACTCGTTTCCTTTTCAAGAACATAGGAAAATCATACTTTTCGATGACCAAGGAACATTCACTGAGATATGGATATTAACAAAGTTTCTCATCCTAACCGTTTTAGAACCTATTTAAAATTCCTATCTTTAATCCTTTCCAATATCGACATAACGACATTCCTGTCACTGAACAAATTTTATCTAATCGCCTAGTTGGAAAGGCTTCTAGACATTTAAAGCAAATGAGGTTTGAAAAGATATAACGTCTCCAACTTAAATAGCATATCGTTAGGATAGGTTTGTCGTAAAATTATAGTTACTATTTAGCCTCATTAATTCAAACTGCAGGTGGTTACGTTACTCAAGGAACACAGGAAACATTTTGAAAACAAAGTATGGTAACTTCTAAGTAGATCTTTTACGCTGTAATTACACAGAACTGTTAGTTCATTTTCCCATCACAAACAAGCGATCATCTTCAAAATCAGATTCCAAGAAGTGATATTCGTTCAGAAACACATAGTGACATCTTGTTAAATGTTTTTCGTCCCCATCTTTCTGCCATAAATTGCTGCCACTAATCTTATCTCTCCAAACGTATTTTTTGATCTCCTTTGCATTAAACGAGGTGCTTTGAAGATTCAAAAACCTGGTGATGAGGACTGACATGCACATGCAAAGCATTGAATAATATAAAGTGGACCAAACTGGAACTGGTATAACCTCTTCTGCCATGGTCTTAATGGCTCATAATTTTCTTCCTTCACAGCCATCAGATATCCCTTCTATCTTCTCTATAGACCTTTTACTCCCAACAGGTTTACTTCTGTTCCTATGATCTTCCTGATTATATTTCATCTCGATTTCAAGATTATATCTTGTAACTCTGAGCCATCCTTTCTCAATTATAATTTTCCTGCTCAAGCACTTAGCAATAAAACTATTATTAGTTTCCCTGAAGAAAAGTTTTAATACCTTTGTTTATTCAACTTCACTGTTACCACATTTAACAGAATTTTATTACCACTATTGTTTTATTATCATCCTGAATAACATGTATGTATATTTGCGATTGTATAGCTTTGAAAATAAATTCCCCGAAAAGAGAAGTCTTCACTGAACCAATTTTCCTTAGCTTAAAATCTGTTTAATCTACTCCGACTAAAGATGCCAACGATAGGGATAATTACATGATAAAGTTTAACTAGAGGTTAATAAACAATTGTCTACACTATAACTACATACGCACATTGAGCACACAATAATATATAACCCTCAAGAAATACGGAAAGTGAGGAAACTTACACAAGTAGCGGAATTATTTACCGATGTATCAACATCCTATCTGTGACCAAATATATTTAGCTATTTACAAATTAGTCAGTATATTATATTCAGTTGAGACTTGTTTCACACTGCTTTACGACCGAGATATATGACCACCAAAAGCGGAAGATAGAGGTGCTTGATCATGGGTCAAGTGATTCAAGTTGGTTTTTTATGCAAAAATGTTTCCAACCCATTTATCGTGATTACATAGATTCAAAGTTTAACCTGTCTGGACAAGACAATAGTTGAATAATCCAAAATGAACACTGATTAAACACCCACGCATTGTCAAACAAAATTAGTATTGATGAGGGGTATTTCTGGACTCCACAAAACAAAATGGATATCGTTAATATGATCCAGATATCAATTCATTATACGGCTAATAGAATTTCGGGAAAGCCAACAAACTGTTGGTAATTCAGGATTGATAAATATTTGATAAGGATGTATTGAAACTACGCAAGTCACAAACTGAGTAAGAAAACTGTCTACTTTATTTGCAAATAATGCACTCTTTAAAATTATTAAAAATTCTTCTTATAATAGGTAAGAAAACATGAGAATGTACACAAAAATAAAAACAGAATATAGATTTGGCTCACTGTAGGATCTTTGTGTTTTTCGCCTCTCTCAACGGATTCTATATCTACATTGAACACGTCCCCGGCTGTACAATTAAAGAGGATATTCTCTACCACACTTCTTAAAGAAAGCTGTTTCGAATTTGGCTGGTTTTTAAATTGTGTAGTGTCGGGAGAATTACCCAGAAGAATGCGAAAGCGCGAATTGCTTTTCAGAACAATGGGCTCGCACTGTATATTAAAAAGCGAATGAAGTGGGCAGCATTCTAAATCAAGACCAGATTCGTGACCGTGGTTAAAGTCTATTACTGTACAGAAACATAGAGATCCATCTGTAGCTTTGTAGCACGAGGTCCCAGTATTTGATGTACTATGTTCGAGCTTTTTGATGCGATACATAGCGCACTGAGTGGTCATTGCCTAAACAGAACAAACTTAGTAAACATTTTAGCTGATTTTGTCAAAAAAAGAACACGTTTAGGAACTACGCAATATATTCTATAAAAAATATCGGGATGTACAAAACCAGTAACATATATTACAAATACAGTATCGATAAACTACCAAGTTGTGCTGTTTACACCGTGAGCGCAATCATAAGTGAGTATCCAGGATACCATAAAGCACGCAAAAGCTGTCATTAAACCTTCTTTAATGATCTCCCCATATCCACCATATTCATCCTCATCAACACGTTGATAAATTGCAGCGTATGCATAGACAAAGCATATGTTTGTTACAAAAAACATGAGGATTGCTACAAAACCCGTAAACGAGGTTACACCCCAGATAACGCCGACTATAATGGCAAAAACTTGCCTAAACCAATACACGACATCCAAAAAGTCGTTTTTGTCGTCAAATACAGATTGCATCTTCAGCGCCTTGAGAAATATACCATAGTTACTCACAAACTGAGTTTTCGTATTCGCCTATTTTTCATAATTAACAACTCCTTACCAAATGAACATTGCTCACCTTTGAGACCATTTTTTCAATACTCAATATCTTTGTCACGAGTTTGTATAAACTGATAAATTTCTTGGGGCTTGCTTCTTGTTGTTTTGGTACGGTTTCAGGTATTTGGTTATATCCGATGGGTGGTAGTTCAACCACTCGACTCCACTTATTCCAGTCGGTTTGGACTTGTGTATCTTGTAGTTGAGTTTACTTCGTTTATTTCAAGGCAGTAGGGTTTCTGGATACCAGCAGCTATCACAAAACCAGGTAGGAGGTTAGTTAGTTGCAATGTGAAAATAATTATGTGATAATTCGAGTGATGAGAGATTACTATTTCAAGAATAAATAATTAGTTTACTTAAATGACAATGTGTAAGAAGAAGTAGTGTTCGTCCTTCAATGTGCAATCATTCGAGGGTTGCCTTAAGGAGCATTGTGATGATATTCTGGTAATATGATGCTTGTGTTGGGGTGGCTTGAAGAACTTAAAATGTTGTGTGCCATCGTTAGATTAACTCTCCTGTAGCTCAGAGAGAATAATTCCAGGTGCTGAAGTCTGTCCTCGTAAGATTTATATCTCAGTCCTATCACCTAATTAGTTGCCCATCTCTGTACTTGGTCTAAGAGATTCATACCCCGACAACATTGTGGACTTAAAAGTGGGACCGTGAGTACCTTTAGAACAGTGTTAGGGAAAACTTTGGGGTGACCACGCCAAGTTGTCTCTGCATAAAGTGGAGAGTTGTGTTTGCCTTAGCTGCATACCCTGTGTACTTTGAACTAGTGTCTAAGTTCTCTATGGTTGCAAATCCGAGATCACTCTCTGAGTAGGAAATCAGGAGAAAATCTGCATGGAGTGTGTGTTCTATGTCAAACGAGGCAGAATGTTCATGGTATGACATTCCGATAAATTAAGTTTTAATCTGTTGTCTAATTCTTACTTTACTATGGTTGTAAGGTTCTTTTGAAGCTCGAGTTAAGCCTTTTCTTTTTTTATGGACCTCCAGAGTTTTGCGTCCTCTCCCGAACTAGTTTTATCTAACAGATCGTTAATAAAGATCAAGAACAGAAGTGAACCTAAGATTGTTCCTTGTGAAACTATCTATATTAAGACCTTCCAACTCATCTGCACTCTTACCTTGGTACGAGGCATTCTCTGGGTTATTTCGCAGCTAGAACCGTTGCTGCTACTTTGACGTGGTGGTCGGGATCACCTATAGTGATAAACCTATCGAGATATACTGACTGGAACAATCGTTTCTCAAGATTCTACCATGTCAGACAGGTCGGTTGAAGAGCGATAAGACTGAAAGCAGCAAAAAATTCAAAGTCCGAGGGTGAAGTCATACTGCTGATTGTACAGAGGTGTGACAACAATAGGGTGTTTCCTTCAAACAACCAGCATAACAGATGAGTGGGGTTAGAAAAGGTTGACCCTAGAAATGCACACCTCGCCTTATCCCACGGATATCAGTTTCCTGTGGTTAGGTCTCAACAAGTGCGGAGTTAACACGAAAATTACTCACAAAAAGGTCGTGTGTGACCGACCTCAACCAGTTGTCCCTTGGGCACTGCGGTCACGCTTTCAGGTCACTAAGACCACATCTAACCCAAATTCCTTTTCAGGTACCTCTAAAAAACCTTCCATGGTATGGGCAACCGGGAAGTAAAAACCACCGACATACCTCTAACAGCACTCAAGATCACTGTATTCATAATCAATCTCCTTCTTCAATTCCTATTATTCCTCCTGCCTCGGCTTTCAACTCTAAACTTCCTCTTTTGGCTTTCCCCTCAAGTGTCACGATAGCCAACGATTTTAGAGCTCAAAACACTGTCCCAGGTCTACTGAAACCTCGCTCCAAACTACACACCGGAGTCTTCAACGTATGCACTCAATGTCAAAACGGCCAGCAGGCCTCCTTGGCTAGGACCCTAGAATCTCGTACCATTGATGTATGCTGTGTCTCCGAAACACACACAGTCAGTCAGCTACAACGTAGGACCAGGCACATATGTGCATCGGTCCAGGTTGCCATACCTCATTAGCATAGCAAGATGAACAGCGGATTCATAGGAGTGGTTAGGTCAAAGGTTGCAATAAGGATATAGTATAGGAAGAAAGAATTAGTTCGTAGACAGAAAGAATGAAGTTATTTTAGTCTCTTAGTTTAAGGGAAGACAGGGAGTGTATACACCGACACCATTGTGATCGATTCTGAGCCATGTCACCAAGAGTCTCCAACCATTGGTTACGAAAGTCACGCGGACCCCAACCAAGTAGTCTGCATCTACCAACATGGCTCAGACTAGAAGTTAGTGACTTCAGGCACTGATGCCACGTTTTGGTTTGGCCGCCTCTAACTTCCTTCCAACCATCCCCTACACCGGTTAGCATTGCACGTCGTGGTAATCGGTGTTCAGGCATACGTAATACGTGGCCCAACCATCTCAGTCGATGAAGATTCATAACCTCATCAACTGATTTACCATCATTCCCTAATACCCTGCGTCTAACCTCACTATTACTTACCCGGTGATCCCAGCAGATGCCAGCAATATTTCTAAGGCATCTGTGGTCAAATACTAGTAACTTACGGGTGTCTTCTACTCTTAATGGCCATGTTTCGCTGCCATAAAGTAAAATAGAACGAACTGCCGCGCAGTATACTCGTCCTTTTAATGATAGACGGATATCTCGCCTTCGCCAAAGGTGACGTAAGTTGGCAAAAGCCAAACGAGCTTTTCGAATCCGTGCTGAGATTTCGTCAGACACCAACCCATTAGGGCTGATCAGACTTCCAAGATAAGTGAAGTTGTCAAGGCGTTCAACTACTTCACTCCCTATCCTTAGTTCAGGTGTTAACGCAGACCAGTCCTGAAGCAACAACTTGCATTTAGAGGGAGAGAAGCGCATCCCAAACATTCTGGCATTGTTGCTTAGTGCTGCCAGAAGACTCTGCATTTTGTCAGCGTCTTCACCAAACAGGACTATGTCACCTGCGTATTCTAAGTCGATAAGTGGACCTCTTGGAAGAAGATCAATACCCGAGAATTCAATCGACGAGAGTGTTATTTCCATCAATAGGTCTATGATGAAGTTAAACAGAAATGGAGAAAGTGGACAGCCTTGACGGACACCACTTGAGGTTGCAAAAGTAGATGACAGTTCGCCATAAGCCCTGACTCGACTAGTAGTGTTCGAGTAAAGAGCCTTCACAAGGTTTATGTACTTCTGAGGTACGCCTTTCAATGACAGACACTGCCACAGAGTCTCGCGGTCTACCGAGTCAAATGCTGCTTTTAAGTCGAGAAATACCACCATCGTCGGACGCCGATAGGTATGCCTGTGTTCTAGAACCTGACGAATGGTGAATATGTGGTCGATGCAGCCACGACCAGGTCTAAAGCCAGCTTGGTTCTCTCGAGTTTGTAGTTCACGAGTCTTAGTTAGGCGTTTGATAATTATCGAGGCCAGTATTTTAGATACTATGTTTGTTAAACTAATCCCTCTGTGGTTGTCACAGGATGATTTTGACCCTTTCTTATATATTGGGACGATAAGTGATTGCGACCAGTCAGATGGGATAAAGTCTAATTCCCAGATCTTAGCTAAAATATTAGTCAACTTAATCGCTAAAATTGGACCACCATCCTTAAAGACCTCTGGAGCCAATCCATCTGGACCAGCTGCCCTTCCTCGTTTCAGATTAACTATAGTCTTTTGAACTTCAGTAAGAGTCGGGGGAACTACTTCAATGTTCCATTCACACTGTCTGGGAATGGAGGGTAGTTGTAGAGTAGCTGAAGGCCAGCTGAACTGTTCCCTAAAGTGTTCCGCCCATCGTTCTAAACGCCTGGACTTGGAGCAGATGAGAGTATCGTCTTTTTCCGATATAATCTCACTTACACTTGACTTATTAATTCCAGTTTCTTTTATTAGTCTGTAAAGCTGTCTTGTGTTCCCTATAGTCGCCGCCTTTTCCATCTCTTTTGCTTTCGATGCCCACCACTGCTCACGGTCGTTTCTTAGACTTTTTCTTAACCTAGATCTGATTTGTTTTCGCTCTTCATCATGTTCAGGACCTGATGGGACGAGTTTGCGAGAATCCATCAGTGTGACAGACCTTGAAGAAATCCACTGGTTCCTTACAACTCTGTGGTTTAAGTCACTAATAGATGTCACTGCTGTTCCCACAGCTGATTGTATGCCCTTCCAAGCAACATCTGGGTCAGCCTCGTCTTCACAACTACCTAAGAGTGACCTCAGTTGTTCCTGGAACCTACTTTTGGTTTTCTCGTTACTCAACTCAGTTCTAACGGGTCTTTTTAATGTGGCATTTTTGCGTCCAGTGAGGCGCAAGCAGATGCGTGCCCGTATTAGGGCATGGTCGGAGTCCAAGCACGTACTCCAGAATGAGCGACAATCTTCTACCGACCCTCTCCAACGATGACTGATGGCAATATGGTCTATTTGAGTCCATCGTTGGTTTGGTGTAGGGGGTCGCCATGTTAGACGATGTCTCTCCTTATGCTTAAAATTTGTGTTTGCTAAAAATAAACGATTGTCTGAGCATAGCTGCAGCAGACGATCACCATTATCTGTTCGCTGTGTCGGAATACTAAAATATCCGCCTAAATGCCTTTCTGTTTGGTTTAAACTGCCTATCTGCGCATTAAAATCACCTGCTACGAGTACTATGTCTGAGCGTTTAGCTTTCTGAAGAAGTTCGGACAGCTTTCTGTAAAATTCATCTTTCACATCATCTGAGCTGCAGTCAGTGGGAGCGTAGGCAGAAACGACAAAAAGGCAACGACGTGTGTCCCTATCCTTCCGAGTTCTTACGTAGCTGTTCAGCCGAACAGCACATAGACGACTGTTGACGGGGATCCACTCTAGCAGTGCTTGTTCCGCCCTCATACTTAGTGCTATCTCTACACCTGCCAGTCCACGAGAACTTGCCATCGAGTCACCAGATACACGAAGGGTGTATCTCGTTGGCTCTCCGTTTTGCCGAGGTGAGGTCAAG